TTGTTTAGTTGAAATCACTGGGTGATAGACCGGAATTCTCAGTGAGAATTTTAGAGGAAGTGCAAAAGCATTTCAAAAGTAAATTGTCGAATCCTTTGTCACTGCGTGTTCGCTGCAGGATTTCGCAATTACTGAAATTTTTATTCGAGAGGAATCGCATACGCAGAGGGAGACATTTTTGTGTCAGATCGCCAGCAGGCAAGATCGCCAGTTATCTACAAATTTGCCGAAGAAGCCTCCAGACGACCCTCTGCTGACGTCACGGACTGCCGCAGCGCCGCTGCCACCCTGCTGTTGTGGGGCGGGCGCGACCGATTGCATTCCAGCGAAGGTCGCCAACCGCGCCCACCCGGCCTTCAGAACATCTGCCACGAAGGGCTCTCAGGCATTGTAACTAGGGGCAATAAACCTTTTTGCAGTATTGTCAAAGCGGTGCCGCGCCAAGGCACAAGAAAGGTCCTCAAGGACAACTCCGTAAATCTAACTATAAAATAATTTTGTACTCTTCTCTAGTTGTAAGCTTTCCTTCTAATTTTAATCTTAATTTTTTCCTTTTATTCAATCTTGTCTTTCTTTTATTTTTTTAATGTAACTTCCCTTGTACAGCTCTGTCCAGGAATAAACGTTGTCTTTTAGCAGTAATCAAATTGTTTTTTTCAATGCCCATGCATGCTTTAGGTTACAATGCCTTCCATCACTGAATCATAAGTTCAGGAAATAGTTACAATTGGCTAGTTTTCAAACGAGTAAAGTTGTTACAATTGGCTTGTTTTTATACGAGTAAAGGGAGTAGGACCGACTGAGCTAGAACCGGGCCGCTAAGCGCGCGTTTCCCTACGCCGGGAGGTGTTACAGTATATTATTGTAATATGTCCCCTACGTGCACTTTGCACCATAATCTCTACCACTCCAAAATGAGAAACGTGGAATGGACGTTTTATCTGCGATGTCTCAATGCATTACGGCTTCCTGCCCCGCGAGTAACGAACACTCGAGTATGCGATGCTCGAGTATTCTGTACCTGAAGACGGGATGCTCGAGCGAGTAAAATCACGAAGATGCAATTCTCTGATGGAGAAGATGGGGCAGAGGCTAAGCAACCTTTCCAAAATTTAACTTCTAAGTTGGAGTTATAATGTAACAACTCGTATGTCATTTGATCTCGGGGAACGTATTACCATCTTCTCCGGAGGTTCCCTTTGTACTAATCATATTCATGTTTTGCATGAGTTTCCGCACGTTTTCGGATGAACATGTTTGCGATATATGTTATTCTACAACTGCACTAACAGTTATTAGCAAGTAATTGTTACGGATAGTATTAAAAACATAATAATTCTAGTCACAACTTCAAAAATATTGCACCCACTGTACACTCTGTGATCTTCGCGGTGGCCTACTGTGCTCTGACCCCAGCGCTGAAATCGTCGCTGGGGACGAAAGGCGCGTGTGCATCAAATTCAATGGGCCAGCGGCAGGCGGCAATCAGGTAGAAGCCGTAGCAGATAATGTACTGAACTCAGCTAGCTGGCACTGGAAGACATTTCTCCCACTCCCACTGCTTCCAGACCGGGGCTCGCCGTGCCTGCGAACGTGGTTACACGTAAGCCAGTGCTACCACAATGCAAAATTATATTAAATGGCATGTTGTGTTAGTATAAATTAACGTACCGTTTGTCCAGAAGTTTATAAATTATAATATGATTATGGGTCACACATTTCTCTCGATGTAATGAGAGTGAACCAGAATGTACTGTAGACGTATTAATTTCTCTGAGGAAGTCCAGACTCATGTGATCAGATTATTAGAATCCCCGAATTTTTTCACACAGCGTACTCTTCTTAGAGAATCAGTGTGCGTGGCACGGCAGTGCGTGACGCAGTGGATTTGTAGTAACTTCGCAGTACAGTAATAAGTGCATTTTCTAATCTAACGAGTATTCAGAAACAATTGTGCTTAGTACGTCTTCCTGTAAGTGTATAATTAATATTCTGAGATCATTTTTAACGAAGCAGTTACTAGAAAAGAAGCAGGTAATTGAAAATGGTAAGCTGATACCAGCCTTGTCATAATTACAGCAGAAACAAAAAAAATGGAGTACGTGGTGGGGCAGGGTTGGCCGCAAACAGCTGGGAAGTGCAAAGTAATCACTAGATATAGGATGTTTAGGAAAATACATATTTTATTCTAATCAAAATATTTAAAGGCAATTAATATATGTATATAAATTATGGAAAACTAAACTTTCTGTCCAATTTTTATTTTCCTGTTTTGTGTCTTGTGACATAAATGCCTGTTTAGACATTTTTCATTTTAAATGGTTTTTTTTTAAACTATATATATAATTATTATTTATAATAATATATAATTATGTATAAAGATTATATATATATATAATCTTTTTTTTTCTTTATCACAAATACAAGTATAAATCACTTTTAAGTCCTACCAATCACATACTGTTGGCACATTGAACGCCAAATTGATTCAAATTTGGCGCCACGTTTCGAACAATGCAGTTTTGCTGCTCTTAGAAGGCATTTCAGAGGAAAAGATCATACATTTCAAACTTCGCGCCTGCAAGATTTCTTCCCAGTTAACCTGTCACCTTCTTTCGTACAAAGTTCCTTGACGTAGATTGTTATCTGCTTCCTGTTAGTTCGGAGCGTCACCGAAAGATCGCATCAGCTCCTGGGCAGCTCCTCGTGCGAAACATGTGGATATTGTCGAAAAACTAGGAATTCAGCTATATCCATTTTAGACGCCACGAGCTCGCATTGACATCAGAGGCGACGTGCAGAACAGTTCGCGGACGTGCAGAAAGCTCAGTACAACGTATTGCACGCATTCGAGTCGGGGCGTGCCAGGCAATTCCCGGCACCTTTCTGCAGTCTAACGTGAAGTAAAACGACGAAATTCGAAACGAAACGTTTGATTCCGTCTGCGATAACCATGACAACCTCTTCAATATCCGTTGATTCTTTGTCCAAAGTAACAATCTTTGTCAATTGTGTGTCGTTTCTTTTCCCGAAAACTCTCGAGTTTTTCATTTTTGCAAATATTGTTTTTCGAGATTATATTAATTTTCAAAATTTTCAATAAAATGCATCGCTAAAGTTAATCATGTTTTAATAGTAATTACTCGTGTTGCAATTGTAACAGAAATTTAATATTAAGCGACTATAAAGAACAGATACTCTCATTTGATGTATGTACTGAATTCATTAAATATTTTAAAATTATTTTGTACCTATTTTATTTTTATTTTTTAATTTTTCCCAAAAATCGACAGTTTATAAATTTGAAAAAATATCACTGTAATCTCAGAAAAGTTTATA